AAAAAAAAAAAAAAAAAAAAAACCTGATTAGGAAATCTAAACAAGTAAAAAGATACCTTAAATATTCTGGGGATCTCAAAACCTTAAGTTACACCTACATAAAAAAATGGTCAAGAACTTGATGTCTCAATTTCCAATAATTTCTAAAAGGCACAGGGCTCATCAGATGCAGATGATATAATATGGTGACCCTACAGATAAGCTGAGGCTGGGCCTCCATATTTGCCCTGGAACTAACCGTGCTACTGACCTCCGCCTTTTAAACCCCACCACCTATGAACCCCTAAGCTGCAGGAAGCCTTGCAGTGGGTGACCTGCAACCCTGGCACTCTGTCAGCCTGCCACTTTGAAGTGCAAGCTTCTGAGAGAAACTCAGAAACCACCCATGTGCTGCCTGGCTCCTGGTCCTAGAACAGTGAGAGCAGGAGAGAGTTGAGACTCCAGGACCATGCCTGCTCTGAGGCAGGCAGGCTGGTCAAGTTAGGGGCTGCTGCAGTGAGGAGGACCCACAAACTATGCTTAGGGTGTGAAAGACTAGAAACCTAAATGTGCAGTTTCATTCAATTTCCACTCTTCTCAACTTCCTGAACACAAATATCAATGTGAAGAGAATATTTCTGGCCCATGCAGTAAATACAGGGCAATAGCCCTGAAATACAAAAGGCCCTTGAAACACAGAAAGGCCGTGTCCACACAAAGCTACTCACACCAGGCTACTCAAGAGGCTGAGGCAGGAGGATCTCAAGTTGGAGGTCAACCTGGGTGACTCAGCAAGACCCTGTCTCAAAATAAACTAGAAAGGGCTGGGGATGTAGCTCAGTGGTAGTGTGCTTGTCTGGCACGTGCAAGGCCCTGAGTTCCATCCCCAGCAAATGGGAAAGAGAAAGAGAAAAGACATCATGAGTTCTGTAAAAGAATGTTGGTGGGGGGCTGGGGATGTGGCTCAAGCAGTAGCGCGCTCGCCTGGCATGCGTGCGGCCCGGGTTCGATCCTCAGCACCACATACCAACAAAGATGTTGTGTCCGCCGAGAAGTAAAAAATATTAAAAAATTCTCTCTCTCTCTCTCTCTCTCTCTCTCTCTCTCTCTCTCCCCCCCCCCCCCCCCCCCCCCCCCCCCCTCACTCTCTAAAAAAAAAAAAAAAAAAAAAAGAATGTTGGTGGAACAGTGTGACAGCGCCCTAAGAAAACTCGGCTCTGCTAGTAATAAGCTCCCCATACTAAATACTCAAGGGAAGTGACTAGCAAGAGAAATCTGTAGGCTCCTGTTTACCAAGGGCAGTGGAGAGGTCACTGCCAACTGAGACCATAAAGAGAACAACTGCAAGAGCTGCTGGGGAACCGACCGGCAGAACGCTTCCCACGCACATGCCACCTCAACAGTGCTTACGGTGATCCTAAGAAGATGGCATTAGCATGGTCACCCCACTGTACAGATGAGCAAACAATGGCTTACAGAGACTGACCTAGATCTGCCACCATTCCCAGATTCATGGCCAAGTCTGACATACTCTAAAAACTGTGCTCCTTCTACTGAAGAAAAAAACTTTCATGGCTCAACAGATCCTTAATCAGTCCCCAAAGGGCAAATTCTGCCATGAACCTGCTAACCCCTTTCCTTATACTAATGAGTGTTGTAAAATATAAAATATGATATTTAAAGTTTGCTGCTACCAAATGAAATACAAAATTAAAACCACAAAACATCTGAATTTCTGGAAGCACTGCATGCCAGGGCCAACTCTTACCCACAGCAAACAGCTACAGAAGCTGAAGAAACGATTATAAAGTACGTTTGTAAATGCATCACAGAAATACCAAATCAGTAAGCAATACAGAGAGGTCAAATGAAACTAAAAGGCTGGAATCTAGAGAGCAAGGGACGCTCTGGAGGCTGGGTAAGCATCCACGGAACTGAGCAAGCGGAATGCCCCACCCCACCAGGAAGGAGGTCTCACAGGACCTCGGTGGGAAGAAGGCTGCACAGAAAACTGCCTCCTATCCTGGCACTGAATGGAGGAGGGAAAAAGCTTCCCCACCAATGTGTAACCATTAGCCGGCCCCCAGGCAGACGACAGTTCAAAATCTATTTTTTTTAACAGCCCAAATTTATAAATTATAAAAGATATTCCTCAGGCAGATGAAAAGTGATCCCAGAAGGAAAGTATACAATGCAAGAAGGAAGGAGAAATAATGAAAGTCGTAAATAATAAGTGGATAAATCTAAACAAATACTGAACTAATGATGTCTTGTAAATTTTTAAACAGAACTAAAACATACACCTACAACATAAAAGTGAAGGATGATCCTGGACACGGCGGCACACCTGCAATCCCAGCGACCTGGGAGAGGGTCACAGTGCATGGCCAGCCTCAGCAATTTAGCGAGACTCCATTTTGTTTTGGTTTTTGAACCGGGGATTGAACTCAGGGGCACATGACCACTGAGCCACATCCCCAGCCCTTTTTGTATTTTATTGAGAGGTCTCACTGAGTCGTTTAGTGCCTCACTAAGTTGAAGAGGCTGGTTTTGAACTTGCAATCCTTCTGCCTCAGCCTCCTGAGTCACTGGGATGACAGGCACATTGCATTGCAACCAGTCTAAGACCCTGTTTTAAAATAAAAAATAAAAAAAACTAGAAATGCAGCTCAGTGGTAAAGCACCCCTAGATTCAATCCCCTATACTGGGCAGAGGGGAAGCGGGGAGAGAAAAAAGAGCAAGTGATAGAAATTAAAGTGTTCTAAGGCCCTTAACTGTTTGAGTGTAAGATGTTAAGACAGTGACTAAAATTAAACTTTGTAAGTTATGAAATTCAAAGACATACTATGTTCATGGACAGGAAGGCTAACAGGTAGAGTGGCTCAGAGGTAGAGTGTTTGCCTAGCATGTGCAAGGCTCTGGGTTTGATCCTCAGCACCACATAAAAATAAATAAATGAAAAATAAAGGTACTGTGTTCAAATACAACTAAAAAATTATTTTAAAAAATGTTAAGGTGGTTATCCAAATTGATACATAATAAATTCAGAGAAACTTTAATAAAATATTGTCAAAAAATGTTACAGCATTTGACATGCATGATCTAAAATGAATATGGGAAAACAAAGGCTCAGGACCTTACCTAATATCAATTATAGTGATTAAATCAATCTAGTTTAAGGACACAGATAAAAGATAGTAAAAAGCCCATGAAGCTGGACCCAGTGGAGCACACCTGTAATCCCAGTGCTCAGGAAGCTTAGGTGGGAGGATCATGAATTAAAAAACAGCCTCCACAATTTAGTAAGACCCTAAGCAACTTAGCAAGACCCTGTCTCTAAAAAAGAAACAAAAAGGACTGGGGATGTGGTTCAGTGGTTAAGTGCTCCAAGGTACTCCACCCCCCCCCAAAAAAAAAAGCTGGGCACAGTGACGCATGCCTGTAATCCCAGCACCTTGGGAGGCTGAGGCAGGAGGATCACAAATTCAAAGTTAGCCTCAGCAAAAGTGAGGCACTAAGCAACTCAGTGAAACGAGCCAAACAGGTCTGAGAACGCTGGGACAGAATCAGATGGTCTCGGGAGGCTGAGGCAGGAGGATCTCGGGTTCAAGCCAACCTCAGCAACAGAGAAGCACTAAGCAACTCAGTGAGACCCTGTCTCTAAATAAAATACAAAACAGGGCTGGGGATGTGGCTCAGTGGTTGAGTGTCCCTGAGTTCAATCCCCGGTACCAACAACCAAAAAAAAGTCGATGAACAGACCCACACATTTGTGAACACTTAATATATAATAATGGGTACTGATGACAGTACAGATAAAATTTGAGGAAAAGGATACAGTTTTTTAATAACTGGGACAATTTGGTACATTCTTTTAAAAAGTGAAAATGAAGTCAGCCTCCATTTCACACTATACAGAAAAATAATAAAAGTTCTTAAAAAGAAACAAAAAGTGCTACCTATAAAAGAAAAAAATGATAAAGTTAAGAATTTCTTCTCATCCAAAATGGTGGGGGGGACTAGAGTGCAAAGACAAGCCATAAATTAGAAGCAGATAGTTCAGCTTTCCTGTATGATCACAAAGAATCAGTATCTAAAATTTTTTAGACAATAACAGAAAAATTTACATGTAATTAAAAAATAACCAGGGCTGGGGATGTGGCTCAAGCGGTAGCGTGCTCGCCTGGCATGCGTGTGGCCCGGGGGTTCGATCCTCAGCACCACATACAAACAAAGATGTTGTGTCCGCCAAAAACTAAAAAAAAATAAATAAATAAAAACATTAAAAAAAATAACCAAATAGAAAAATAGCCAAAATATTTAAGCAGATGTTTCAGAAAAAGTGAAGCGGGAATGATGAGCAAGTATAAGAAAAGATGCTCAGTCGGGTGTCGCAGCACAGGCCTGTTAATCCCAGCTACTCAGGAGGCTGAGGCAAGAGGATCACAAGCACAAGACCAGTCTGGCAACTAAGGGAGACCCTTCCTCAAAATAAAAAATAAAAAGGACTAGGGATATAGCTCAGTGTAGAATGTCCCTGAGTTCAGTCCCAGTACCAAAAAATAAGCAAGAGAA